TTGCGACTCAAAACGAATGGAAGAGCCGATGGGGAAGATCACCATTACCTGCTTGGCGAAAGGTGACCTTCAAACGTGACCGAACAAAAAGATCTTGGAACCAACACGTTGTGGACTCTGAGGCCTTCCTCTCAGTGCTTTAGGGCGGCCAAAATGAGAACTAGTCTTCTCTTTGCAATTAAACGAACTTTCATAGATTTAGACAAAGAGTCGCTTGAAAAAGTATACGGAGCGTTTATTCGTTCGAGTCTGGAATATGGAATCCAAATGTGGCGCCCGTGGCTAAAAAAGACTATGAGTTGCTAGAAATAGTTCAGAGGAGAGCGATACAATTGTGAAAGTCCTCGGGACTTTACCCTACAACTGCAGACTTAGTGAACTTCAATTACTTCCTCTTGAAAACACATAGATTCGAGGAGATCTCATACAGGCTCATCGGATTTTGACGAACCGTGACTGTGCCCTTAGCCTCAACGATTTCTTCTTCCTGCTTACAACAACAAACTTGCGTAGGAACTCTCTAAAACTTAAAGCACCCTGATGCCGCCTGGAATTTCGCAGATATTCTGTTTTCACAGCGAGTCGTCGGTGCCTGGAACGGGTTTCCCGAAGACTTGCTATTGGCGAATTCCACGGAGAAATTCAAGCAAAGACCGCTTGTCTGGATAGAACAGCTCTGTGGTGCCAAACCAACGTCTTGCATACACCTACCGCTAATGCGGATGATTGTCCTTGCATTTTAACCGATATCATCTACAACTGAATGTTCTCGAGTTTCGGTCGTGCGTTTTCAAAGAAAAGTATTTTGTCAAGTGCATAAAGTGTTGGCAACATTTTAGTACCAGGTTTATTTAGGGTTAGATATTGCATGTACCGTTTTCAATAGGGTTTCCAAAGGCATTGACGATCTTCCTTAAAATAATAATAATAATTATTTTTATCAAAGACCCTTCGGGGTCCCATCAAAATATACTGACCTAACTTGTCTGCTGTCCGTCTCGGAATTGAGTGTCCATTTTAACGCGTTTAGTAAGGGACTCATCAGTGGACAACTGGATAAATTTCTGTTCGAAGGAGTTTTCTGATCGCTTGCAATGCATCGAAACCCATTCGATAATTGGACAGTTGAAATCACCAAGTAGCATTGTGTTCACTTTGAAAAATTTCTTTTACATCGGGGATAAGTGGGCCTGATGGTGTCCCAGTAAGCATTTTAAAAGCGCATGCAATGCCCGAGTTGTCCGTATCCAAATGAGATTTTTGTATACCAATTCACAAAGTCCCGTTTCGAAGATCGATGAACTCAAAGCGATAGTATCAGAACGAATCCCCGACGTCATCGTCATAACGGAATCTTGGCTTAATGCTGAAATCGTGGATGCTGAGATTTCGATACCGAGTTACCAGCTCTTTCGTAGCGACCGTCAAAATAGACGAAGCGGGGGGTAGTCGTATATGTAAGGGCACGAATTTCGGCAGTTGAAAGAGCCCACACCCTCTCCCTTGAATATGAATCCGCCTGGATAAAGATAAAGAAGAGCAGCGCACAAAATCTAGAACTCCTGACGATTTACAGACCACCAAACCTTCTGAGTGCAGCTGATGAGTCGCTCCGTGGTTTAGTCAAAGACGTAGTTACACACCAAGAGGTACTTATTGCTGGGGATTTCAACGCACCTACATTAGAGTGGGAAACTATGGCAGTTAACGGTGGGCCAGCCTCTTTCAGCAATAAGCTACTGGACCTCACACTCGATCTTTCTCTGGCGCAACATGTGAAGATACTAACAAGATTTCGAGAGAACCAGAGAGCGAATTGTCTTGACCTAGTTTTCGCTAAAGACTTCTCTAATATCGACGAAGTGTATTCTAATGCACCTCTAAGGAAAAGTGAGCATACTAATCTACTATGGGATTACTCGCTCTTCTCTCAACGCCAGAAGATAACAGAGGGCCAATCTAATATATGGAAGGCAGATTTTAACATGAAGAAGAACGAATTGCTGTCCGTGAATTGGGACCAATTACTCAGGGGAGATCCGGAGGACGACTAGAGATCTTTTAAGACGATTTCACTCGATCTGATTCTGCGCTGTTGTCCACCTAAAGTACAAAAAACAACTAGTCGACCTGCTTGGTTAAGTAGGGACCTAAATAGGCAGCTACGAAATTAAAGTAAAAGATGGAAAATATTCAGGGAAACTGCGTCACTAGCGCAATTCGAAGAATTTCGTCGTCAACGAAAGGCAGTCAAAAAATGTATCCGTCGGGCACGGAAGGAGTATGAATCCAAAATTATCCGACAGGCTGAACAGAAACCTAAGATTTTATTTCACTATCTTAACAGTAGACTGAAAAATAAGGACTCGGTCACGGTGCTAACTGGATGATAATGGTGTAGAGATAATTGAGAACAGCGAGAAAGCCGAACACTTAGGACAGTATTTTGCCTCGGGTTTTACTAGAGAAACAGAGTTTCCTGTTGCAGTGCGGGCAATGCTCTTGAGACTGCTGGTCCCGTGCTTGACTCCATACTCTTCCCGACAGATGCCCTGGAAAGGGAGCTGAAAAATCTGAAAGAAGCAAAGTCCTCGGGTCCAGACAATATACCGGTCAAATTCTTGAAAGAATTGGCGAATGAACTCTCCAACCACTGGCACACATCTTCCGCTCGTCATTCGAATTAGGGAGGTTGCCATCGGAATGGAAGACAGCAAATATCTTTCCGATATACAAGGGCGGGGCTCGCACTAATGCTAACAATTACCGGCCTGTTAGTCTTACTTGTATCTGCTGTAAAATAATGGAGGCCATTGTTAAGAAAGCAACAATGAAGTTCCTAGAGCAGGGCCATTTACTCTCAGACCTGTAGCACGGCTTCAGACAGAACCGCTCGTGCCTTTCCTGTTTATTGCTTTCGACGGAGCAATGGACTCGCGCACTGGACGAGGATGGTAGGGTCAATGTCATCTACACAGACTTTAAGAAAGCGTTCGACAGCATCCCACACAAACACCTAATCTACAAACTTTCTGAAATTGGGATAAGAGGAAGACTGCTTACATGGATAACAGATTTTCTTAGCGGGAGATCACAAACCATGCGCATTGAGGCCTCAAGGTCAACCTCTACCCCCGTTCTAAGTGGTGTACTCCAGGGCTTCGTCTAAGGGCCGTTGCTATTCCTGATTGACATTAACGACTGCGTCGACGACCTGGGATGCAGCGCCATCATGTCTGCTGACGATGTTAGGCTGTGGAGACCCATCAGTTCAGTTCAGTTTATTGGGGGAAATAGGCGTAGGCCTTTTAGTACCCTATTTGCAACGTAAAAAATGTGTGGTGCACATATGGATGTTCTGGGCTGAAATTCTTACAATAGGCCCATAATGGTGGGACAAAATGAGAAGGAGTTACAGGGGGTGAGCTCGACATCTCATCACTCTTGGTCATTTCGGAACATAAATATGTCCAGATTCTTCTTAAAACTTTGTATAGATGGTGACATCGCAACATCTGCGGGAAGCTCATTCCATGGTTTGACCACCCGAACCGAGAAGGAGAACTTCCGCACATCCAGCCCTGCCTGCTGAGTGCGCAGATTTAACGGGTGACCTCGGAGGTTGGTCGTGGTAGCAAATTCAAAAAAGTCCTCGAAGGCCAGACTGCAATCCAACCCATCAGAACTGACGCAGAAATGTACGCGCTTCAAGACAATCTCAACCGTCTGAAGAGTTGGTCAGCTCGTCGGCTCCTTAATTTTAATGTGGACAAATGTGTGGTCCTGAGACTCCGCACCAAAAAGACCTGTAAGGAGCACGATTCCTTTTAATACGTCCTTGGTGGTCAGCCCCTTTCAAATGTTGTGGAACAGCAAGACCTCGGCGTCTTAATGAACTCCTCGCTGAAACCATCATCACAGTGTCAAAGGGCAGCCAAAAGTGCGATAAGGATGTTATTTGCGCTGAGGCGAGGATTTGTGCAGATCGATAAAACCTATGGGGCATTCGTCCGGTCTCACTTAGGGTATGCAGTCTAGGCCTGGCGACCGTGGTTGAAGAAAGATTATCAACGACTGGAAAGGGTACAGGCGATGGCTACGAAAATGGTCAAGAATCTTCATCATCTGCCTTACGAAACCAGGCTGACCGAACTAAATCTGTTTCCTCTAAATTACAGGCAACTGCGCGGCGACCTCATTCAAACCTACAGGATTGTCAGAGCTCGTGAGTGTGCCCTAGACTTTGATGAATTCTTCGAATTGGCCGGGACTGACCGTCTGCGTGGTCATCCCTTCAAACTGCAGAGGAAGCTGGCCCATTCGGACGTCCGACGGAACGCCTTCTCTCACAGGGTCATTGGGGCATGGAACGGACTCCCTGATGCAGTGGTTCTTTCCGGAAGTATCGATTTATTCAAGTGTAGACTAGATGCTCATTTGCTGAGAAACTACTATACATACAATAACGATTGTTTTAGCGGCGGCAGTTTGCGCCTGGCTCACACTTACAGCTAATTTTTTAACTGTCCGCATTTGCTGATGTAATTAATGACTTTATTTCTGTTTATAGATATGAATAGGGGGCTCAAGGGCGAAAGCCTCATTCCCTTAATAAACTGCCCTAAACTGAATAGATAAAAAACCCCAGTACTTTATCTAGTATCACTGTCTGCTAATTCAAACAAGCACTATCCCAAATGGTTGAAAAAATCTAAATGGCAGTTATTTTCATGGGAAGTTTCTTTGTCGGAAAGTATGAGGCGGATCCACATTTCTAACAGTTCCCCCTTTCATTCTACCTTACCCTTTCCCAAATGTAAAAAACTGACTAATCCGCGTTTCTGCGGGTGCTATTTGAACGTATGAGAACTAATTAAGTTAGTTTTTGCGCAGTCGCAACCTATGAATGGATTATAACATAAATACTCATGGGTCGGCGCATGGACTTGAGGTAGAAATAATAATAAGTATATTATGTCGCCAGAATACATGTCCATCTATTAGGTTTGTTCTGGTAGTCCCTTCTTCTTCTTCTTCTTCTTCTTCTTCTTCTTCTTCTTCTTCTTCTTCTTCTTCTTCTTCTTCTTCTTCTTCTTCTTCTTCTTCTTCTTCTTCTTCTTCTTCTTCTTCTTCTTCTTCTTCTTCTTCTTCTTCTTCTTCTTCTTCTTCTTCTTCTTCTTCTCCTTCTTCTTCTTCTTCTTCTTCTTCTTCTTCTTCTTCTTCTTCTCCTTCTTCTGGTGTTAAGTGGTTCTAATGCGTGTCGCAAAGAATTTATAAAAAGGAACAGTTTTTGTATTGAGGTTGAGCCACCTTCGAATTGACTGCTAGTTGACGAATGTCCAGTTTTTAATGACACTGTAATTTACGATATTATTTAAAAACTTGAGCAACCTAAACCAAACGGATACCTGACCGTCAGAACAATACGGAAGACGAAAATCAACAACTAACACCATCAAATTGGAAAATATTTTTAGATTGTGCAAAAGCCTGCAGTTCCTTGTTGGAAGGGAGGAAGGTTACAAGGTTACAATCCCCACGATGAACTCGGGCGCGTATCCCTTTTTCAGGAAAGTAAATGTAATCTTATCGAGGGTGAACCCTCTTCCTTCTTCTTCTTCTTCTTCTTCTTCTTCTTCTTCTTCTTCCTTGTCTTCTTCTATTATTTACCACCACCATCATCATCACCACCACCACCACCACCGCCGCCGCCGCTGCCGCCGCCGCCATCTTGTATTCCTGTCCATTCTATTCCATGCCTTTTCTCCTCGACTTCTGATTTTGGTACGTCACCAAGTGACGTAGTACTTAACATCGTTTCGCTCACCCATCGGGCTGGTTGCCATAAGCATCCCTTGATGAATGCATCGCACCACCTGACTTCAACGCTTGAGAAGATAGCAAGCGTCGAACTCTCAAAAACCTTGGTCCGATGCAAAACTATTCTTACTAGTCAGCTCCTCCATTGGCCAAAGATACATGTTCGTTAATTTGCAATCATTAATCTGACCCACTTTTGTCAGGTTCAGTAATAAACCTGGTCCATTTGTGTCGCAATTCGTTCTGTGCGCTCCGGTTGCCTTTTCATAGGGACGTTTTGCTTAATAGTAATACTACTAGTAGTAATAATTGTCATCAAGTTCCATGGACAGTCAGACACATTAAGCAAGGGGTAATCTACTGACGATCATCATTACAATCCTGAAAGCATGAATAGGTGTGTCAGTGAGACGAACGATGTGTGAAAAGTTGGCACGAGGAATGGGCATGAAGCTCCTTAACTGGAAGTTCGAATTCAGTTGAACCACTTGATCTCAAAATAATTGGAAACAATGTGGCATGCGCACAAGTCATATGGGCTTTCAAAGGAAAATAGGTAAAGGTTAAGTATATGCGCGGGGTAAAGACAAAACGGTGAGAACAGCCCACAATATCTTTAAAAGTCGGTGTTTTTCGGTAGAGTCTTCTGTCGACCCTTCGTTGGCAGGGTGATATTCGCTGGCATGCACACTGGTAATGTGGACTTTCAAAGGAAAACCGTCCTTCCGGCGACGAGGAAAAACATGAACGTATCTGAACTACTTTGTCATTGATTGCGCACTTGTTTCATTGTTGAACATATGCACCAGCCATGGCGGAGGCTATTTTAAATTTCCCGCGAATTGATAATTCCGATAGTTCGACTGTCGAGTTAGACTATGTACACTGTGTGCTCCCCTGCAAGGTGAGAGCAGGGACGGTGACTTGCGCGTGAATTAGCTTATAGAGATAATAGACTTGCGCTGAATCTGCCGCTCTCTCCTCCTCCCCCACTTGGACCCGGTGTCAAGACGGAGTCAATTAGACCGGAATTGGGGGAGTGCGCAGGTGGAGGCCACTGTCGAGTCCGCACATTGGCGTTCTACTCCACACCCCCTGGTCGACACAGCAAATAACGAAAAACAACAATGAAGGGGTGGCAGTGGTTCCAGTATGCGCGAAGGCTGCCAACAACCGGGTCTGCTACCGCACCCCGAAATGTTGGTATTTGTTATCGTGCGCAATCCGATAACGTCTGTCAGGATCCGATTTGGTACCCGTGTTGGTCCAGTGCATTTACCATGTGGCCCGTTTGAGGGACATAATGGATGAATCCGCAGATCAGGAAACGAACAGAAGAGTCGGCTACGAAGTAATTCATGAGCTAACTATAAGAATAAACGTCAACTGGGTAGGAATTCCCAGATGAAAGTGCTAGACATGCTAGAACAGACTTCTTCGAAATTCTGGCGGTACTCTGAAGCTAATGAAGCTTAAATGAACTATGTAGTAAGCAACTGAAAACCCTATAATCAGCAAAAATTTATCAAGAAAGTCACCATAATTTAACTTTTACCATGGGTAAACAGTCTTTTTTAGAATTCGTTAACGCTCTTGAGTAAAAACCTGAACAAAACGTAATTATCTGTAGCAGTGAGCTGAGGAAATTTGGGCCAAATCGCAGTTGGTAGCCAGGCCCCGTATTACAGGTGGCTGGGGGAGGGGCTTTTTACTGGGGCTATTTTGTAGGGCTCCATAAGCACATCTGACACATTTGGCTTTCGTTTTACGTTTGAGGTTAGGATTAGGGTACCGGGTAATGGCTTCCGATTTTCGGGTTAGGGTTATACCATTAGGCTTAGGTGTTCGGGTTACGGTTGGGATTTGAGTGTACAAATAGGTTTCAATATTACGGTTAGGTTTCGCAGTTGCGGCTACGTCTAACGGTTCCGGTTACGTTTACGATTTCGGTTAGGGTTAAGGTTGCCGTTAGGGTTAACGGTTAATGTTTAAGGTTGAGGTTAGGGTTAGGATTAAGGTAAGGATTAAGGCCAAGGTCGCCGTCCGCTTCCCCATTCCTGACTGCCAACTGCAATTTCGCCGAAATTTGTTTCTTGTTCATACATTGTGGAAAGTACCAATTTATATAGATCTCTAAAGGAACTTTGAGAAAAAGACCGTCCATTTTGTGTTCTGTTCCCAGCTGAGACTCACACATATGCCCGGAAATACGAGCAGTTATGTTTCAACGATAAGATTGCCCCAGGTCGATCGCGGCAGGGATTTAACACAGTGGCTAACCTGCAAACTATTAATAAATTAACCAGGGTCGTTATAGTGGTCACGTGAATTAAAAGTCAGTTAGGATCGAATTTCACTTTTATGAACTAAGTTACTCTGTGGGGCGGTAGCGATCAAACCACAGGGTGTTTCGGCGGTTCGGCGTTTTCGCTCACAGCCATGTGACGGGTGGTTTAGTCAGCACTTAATTCAGTTGCTGCTATCACAGTTTACGGAGGTTGGAGATTGGAGGTGAGCAGAGGCGCAGGAACCAACCGGACGGGTAAATACATGCGAGACTTCGCTGGACGCCGGCGGTAAGAACGTTAGGCGCTCCGAAGACTTAGGGAGAGCCTCAGCGTTAATAGGGCTAGAGTAGAGGGGGACTTGCACAGATTAAGCCACCCTCTCGCATCAGGCCCATTAGGTTTCATTGGAAGAGCAGGCATAGGCGACTAACGTTAGGCGTGACTGGGGTGTGGTGAAGAGGTCGAAGTCACTTGTATGCGTACCTCACACGTGTTCGCTTTTAAATCAACCTATCATATCGACAACATGCCGGAAAGCCTTGATACGCTGGATTGTAATGGTAGAGGCCCCATGATTGGAGCTCTCATGGCAACAGGCGACTGGAGTATCGAGAGCAGTTTGCGTTTTAACGAAGGGTTGTTCTTGCCCCCAATAACCAGATTGTATGCGCTATTTGTGCAACAGTCCGCGTTCATCTACACTCCAAAAATCCAAGTAATGTCCGGATGAGAGCAGCTTGTTTGCATAATTAGCGTTCACACGGACGAGCTTCAAGCCCCACGGATCTGCACGTGGAAACTTTGAAATCTGGTGGCCTGCGAACTTCCTGCGCCAATTATGGTGGAAGATACACAGGAACTTTCCCACAAGTAGCAAGCGCTTCCCAGGTGTGTCAACTCCTAGTGCCCTTTTGTCATCCAGGTCGTTCTAGTCAAAAACATTTGCGTCCAGCCAATGGCGTTCTTGCGATGACTAGCGGAAATACATGCATAAATTGGCTATTTTTGATGGGCACACAACGGAAAGACGGCAGCGGGAAAAGCGATTGCAGTATATTGGGATGGGGCGACCTAGTACATAGTATAAATGCATGTGATCATCCTACAGGATTGCCAAGTTCTGCCAGCTTGTCTTATGCATACAGAACGTGAAGGGAGGGGAGGGGGGGAGACAGGTGGAACATAAAGAATTCCTGAGACGGGAAGTGGTCCCAACGCTACAGTTTCAAGAACCATCAACCAGACAGTTCGAACGCCGATTTCGACGATGTCCGCCGTGTGCTGCACAGTAGGTTTGGAGGAGGAATGACGACTTGCGCAGCGGCTACCGCACTCTCTCCTCCTCCCCCACATGAATCCAGTGTAAGGACGTAGTCAAAGAGATCGGATGGTTTTATCATGATGTTCCCTCTACAGTGTGTCACAAAGAAATAATGCGTGGTTTTTATCTAATATGACTTGCCGAAAAAGCTCTAGCTGTGTTCGCCATGTAATTTTTCTTTTGACATGGTTCGTTGATTACGAGCATTCCAAGTTAATTTCCTGTTGTTTGAATGCCATGCTCCACCGCTTACGAGGTCTCTTAACCGAAGTCTGAATGAAAAACGAAATGTTACAGTTTACATTTGCAATCAGAATGGATTGCCGAAAATCGTCTATGTCTTCTAGTCGTTTATGGTCTGCAGACATTCTCTTGCCAAAGACCCAAACTAGGGCAAATCCCGTTGTATTTAGACAAGCGAGTCTTCAAACGATACGCTGTGGTGGTTTGACGTTTCTGGAGCAAAGAAATGTTGTCAGATAGCATTTTGTTTCGAGGACAGCGTCCCCGAAATAGGTGTGGAAATAGCGGAGGAAAAAAATCCCTCTCCTTTGCACTGGTGCTTCTAAGAGTATCTTCGGAGATTATCGTCGGTTCAGTTCCCTTGAAACAGCCCCCATGAAAAGCCTACTAACTGCTTCTGATTTATATGCCCTGCATTGCTGAACTTGGAAAGCTCAATAGGGATGCTTTATTTTCTAGAAATGGTTTTCTGTCGTTTTAATTACCATGTACAGTCAGTGAAAATTATTACGTCGCCAAAATACGGTGGTACTCAGATCAACCATGTACAGATTAGCGTCTAATTTTTATAAACTCTAATAACAGAAGAAGTACATTATTAAAGTTGTAAGAGTGCTAGTTTGGACTGTCCACAGTGATGTTTCTAAACTAAAATCTGCGCAATTTTAATGCCTGATTTAACCTACCGGTTAAGGCTATTTGGGCTTGTCTTCTGTTTATGCAACCTAGAAATCTACAATCGACGAAACACAATACTATGTCCACTGAAATGCTCTTTGGCAGAAATGTTTCCTGTTTAACACAACCGGTAGTTAGGAGGATGAAAAGACAGTATTCGCAAAGGCTGGTACGTTGTCTAGGTTTTTGTCTGAACTCGGAATTAACGAGTTTCTTAGGACAGCGGGTAAACGGAAGAATATTTTTGACCATACGACTCATAGTCTGTCATCTGCGCAGATGCCTCTCAGAGCACACACACACACACTAAAACAAACACCAGATAACCAGACGCTGCCGGCTATTCCCTCCGCAAAGCCACTGTATCGACCAAGAGGCAA